TCCTGCCCAAGGAGGAGGTTGGACCAGAAGACTTCCAAGATCCCTTCCAACTCTGTTATAATAATTCCAGTTTACTGAGTATCTGAGTTACTCATAGAATTTGCAAACCCTTCGCACTGGAGATCAGCCTCTGAGATGTTGTAAAAATATCTCTTGTGCAAGCAAAACACAAACTCAACCAAGGTTTTAAAATTCATAAATGGCAGCTCGGCATCCCTATTGGATCCCCTTGTGCGGTTTCTGTTGCTTCGTTGATCGCCGTTCTTGGTCTCCGGGCAAACATATATTCCTATTGTCAACCGAAAGAACATTCCAAATGGGTTTTAATTTTGTGCTTGGCTAGCTCAAATCAGACGGAGCGCACCTTCCTCCAAGCTAATGGTGCATGAAATCCCATTCTTTTAAACCTAGTCTGGAATTCAGAAGTTCTTTTTATTTTGCATAACTTGACCCTCGCCGTGTGATTTTCTGTGTCAGATAAGGCAAAAGCATTAGGCCGAGAACAATATTTAACTTCTAAAGCTTTAAAGGGAGGTATCAGCTTGACTCAACTTGGAGTCCTGTTATTGTTGTTGGCAGTGTGTGTGTGTGTTTATTGAGTTTTTTATTTGGGGTTTTACTTCTGTAAGCTGCCTGAAGTCACCGGGAGTGAGTTGGATGGCCATATAAATTTGCTTAAAAATTAAAATTACAATTACAATACAATAAATAACAGTACGATACAATACAGTACAATGCAATGCAGTACAATACAATACAATACAATACAATACAATACAATACAATACAATAAATACAATACAATACAATACAATACAATACAATACAATACAATACCAATACAATACAATACAATACAATACAATACAATACAATACAATACAGCAATAGTAGTGGTAATAGTGTTGATGGTTGGATTTTAAAGATGGAGGCACTTAACTTCATTTGTTCATACATAAAGCTGGGGTGAGTGGGTGGGTGTTTTTCCACAGATGCAGACTTTTCCCATAATTCCTCAATTTACGACCACAATTACACCCAAAATTTCCACTGGTAAGCGAGATGGTTGTTAAGAAACGGGTTTTGGCCCATTTTACATCTTTTTTTTTTTTTGCCACGGTTGTTGAAGTGAATCACTGCAGTCGTTAAGTTAGTCACCTGGTTGTTAAGTGAATCTGGCTTCCCCGTCGGCTTTGCTTGTCAAAAAAGACCCCGGGATCCTTCAGCCGTCATAAATACGAGCCAGCATATTATCCAAGCGTCCAGATTTTGATTAGGTGACTACGAGGATGCTGCAGCAGTCAGAAGTGTGAAAAACAGTCCTAAGCTACCATGGTAACTTTGACTGGTCATTATTAAAGATTAACAGAGTGGGAAGGACCTTTTAGGTCATCTAGTCTAACCCCCCACTCAAGCAGGAAACCCTGTACCATTCCGGACAGATGGCAGTCCAGTCTCTTCTTGAAAGCCTCCAGGGATGAAGCTCCCACAACTTCTGAAGGCAACTTCTGTTCCATGGGTTGATTGTTCTCACTGTCAATAAATTTCTCCTTATTTCCAGGTTGAATCTCTCCTTGTTCAGTTTCCATCCATTATTCCTTGCCTGGCCTTCGGGTGCTTTGGAAAATACGTTGACCCCCTTCTTCTCTGTGGCAGCCCCTCAAATATTGGAAGACTGCTATTATGTCTCCCCTGGTCCTTCTCTTCACTAGGCCAGCCATGCCCAGTTCCTGCAACCGTTCTTCGTTTGTTTTAGTGTCCAGTCCCCTAATCATCCTGGTAGCTCTTCTCTGCACTCTTTCCAGAGTCCCAACATCTTTTTTTATAGTGCGGTGACCAATAACTGGATGTAGTACTCTAGGTGTGGTCTTACTAAGGCTTTATAGAGTGGTATTAGTACCTCCCTTGATCTTGATTGTATCCTTCTGTTAATGCAGTTTAGGATTGCATTGGCTTTTTTGGCTGCCGCTGCACACTGCTGGCTGATATTTATCTGGATGTCCACTAAACGAAGAGTTGTAACTCGAGGAATACCTGTACCACATAATCACATGTTATCAGGCTAAAATTTCCATTATCCAGTCAGATAAATCCAGCAAGGGCTTCCAGGGGCCTGGAAGAGAGAGAGGCCATTCTTGGGCTGATAACTTTGATAACTCTTCATTTTTGACCAGAAATCTGTCCACTGAAATATTGCAGTTAGATTTGGGGAATCCAATTCATCAGGTCATGGAGTTCTTTGGCTGCAAACCCTGGGATCGTTTTGGTCTTCCTGAAATGGCATCAGGTAAAGGGTTGCTCCATCTTCTGCTCAAATATAATATAGGTAGTCCTCATTTTAAGTAAGACCACGCCTGGAAGACTGCAACCAATTTTGGTCACCACAATACCAGTAAGATGATGAGACTTCGGAAAAAATCAGAGAAGAGCAAAAGCCTGGAGACTAAAACATATGAAGAAGGGCTGCAGGATTTGGGTTTGGCTAGTCTAGAAAAAAAAAAAAGAATTAGGGGAGATAATAGCATTCTAATATTTGAGGGGCTGCCACAAAGAAGAAGGGGTCAAATTATTCTACAAAGCACTAAAAGGCAGGAGAAGAAACAGTGGATGGAAACTAAATAAGGAGAGAAGCAACATGGAATTAAGGAGAAATTTCTTAACAGTGAGGACAATTAACCAGTGGAACAGCTTGCCACCAGAAGTTGTGGGTGCTTCATCACTGGAGGCTTTTAAGAAGAGTCTAGAGCAAGTGTTTCTCAACCTTGGTAGCTTAAAGATGGGTGGATCTCAACTCCCAGAATCCCCCAGCCAGCAGCGCTGGCTGGGGGATTCTGGGAGTTGAAGTCCACCCATCTTCAAGCTTCCAAGGTTGAGAAACACTGGTCTAGAGTTTAGACAGCCATTTGTCTGAAATGGCTTCAACGGGGTTGGACTAGAAGATCTCCAAGGTCCCTTCCAGCTTATTCCATTCTAAACTAAGCCATGATATTAACAACCTTTCATTTAGTGACCCTTTGAAGTTACAACGGCCCTGAAAAAAGTGACTTACGACTTTTTTTTCCCACTCTTATGACCAGTGCAACATCCCCATGATCAAAATTGAGACGCTTGAGAAGTGACTCGTATTTATGACGGTTGCAGTGTCCCGGGGTCAGGGGATCTCCTTTTGCTCCCTTCTGACAAACCACGTCAATGCGGGGAAGCCAGATTCACTTAACAACCGGGTTACTAACAGCAATGATTCCCTTAACAACGGTGGCAAGGAAGGTTGTAAAATGGGGCAAAATTTTACCTAACAACTGTCTTGCTTAACAGGAATGGTGGGCTCAATTGTGGTCATAAGCCGAGGACAACCTGTATAAAAACCTTACACTCCTAGCCACAACCTGACAATGTGTGATTTGCTGGAAAATAGAAGTTGTTACCTCTTAAGTTGTTCCTGTCAAAGCACCTAGTAGGGCTGTATTAATATTATTCTTTTCCTCTTTCCTGTTACCTATTTCCTTACCTTCTTACGACTATAACCTTGTTGTTTGTATCTTATGATTTATATTAATTGTTTTATTCTGTATCCGAGTATGGTTTATGTTGATTGCTTATTTAGTATCCTAGGACTATGACTAAGTGTTTTGACTTATAATGAATGTATTTTTATGAAGACTATGATCATGATTTATCACTTCTTGCTTGTATGCATACTGAGAGCTTCTGCACCGGAGACAAATTCCTTGTGTGTCTAATCCAATAAAGAATTCTATTCTATCCTATCCTACCCTATCCTACTCTACCCTATCCTATTCCTATTCCTATTCCTATCCTATTCCTCTTCTTCTTCTCTTCTGCATTTTATTCTGCATTCTATTCTATCCTATCCTATCCTATCCTATCCTATCCTATCCTAACCTATCCTATCCTATCCTATCCTATCCTATCCTATCCTATCCTATCCTATCCTATCCTATCCTAACCTATCCTAACCTATCCTATCCTATCCTATCCTATCCTATCCTACCCTACCCTACCCTACCCTACCCTACCCTACCCTATCCTATTCCTATTCCTATCCTCTTCCTCTTCTCTTCTGCATTTTATTCTGCATTCTAATCTATTCTGCATTCTATTCCATTCCATTCCATTCTATAGATTTTCAAAACTGACTCGGGTGTCTGATGGCTCATTGGGACTTCTCAACTGAAGTGGCCTGTTCTTGGTGTGACTTTTAAAAAGCTTTAAAAAGGTTACTCTGCAGCTGGCACCATCTACCGGCTAAATGTTAGCATTGCAGATATATATGGGGGGGGGGGAGAGAGAGAGAGAGGAAAAGGTTTCCCTCGCACATACATGCTAGTCGTTCCCGACTCTAGGGGGCGGTGCTCATCTCTGTTTCAAAGCCGAAGAGCCAGCGCTGTCCGAAGATGTCTCCGTGGTCATGTGGCCGGCATGACTCAACGCCAAAGGCGCATGGGACGCTGTTCCCTTCCCACCAAAGGTGGTCCCTGTTTTTTCTACTTGCATTTTTTACGTGCTTTCGAACTGCTAGGTTGGCAGAAACTGGGACAAGACACGGGAGCTCACCCCGTTATGCGGCACTAGGGATTTGAACCGCTGAACTGCCGACCTTTTGATCAACTAGCTCAACGTCTTAGCCACTTAGCCACACTGAGCCACACACACACATATGTACATAGTTACATACATGCCGACCACATGACCACGAAGACATCCGGACAGGGCTGTCTCTTTGGCTTTGAAATGGAGATGAGCACCGCCCCCTAGAGTCGGGAACGACTAGCACATATGTGCGTGGGGAACCTTTACCTTTTACCTTTATTATGGCCTCACACACACACACAAACTCGCACCAAAAGCATCCCTGACTCTGTTTCCTTCATGTAGGCGGCCACGATCTCCTGGCTCCTTCTCTTCCAATTGAAATAGCCCAGGCTTTTCCCGCCAGTCCTTCCTGCGAACTAACCCACATTCCTGGTTTCTCTTTTTAGGTCTTCCTGAACAGTACTACAGCCTCACCTGGTTCCTTAGTCCAATCCTGGGCCTGATCTTTACCCCTTTAATTGGTTCGGCCAGCGACCGCTGCACCCTCAGCTGGGGCCGCCGACGGCCGTTTATTCTCGCCCTTTGCATCGGGGTCCTCATTGGCGTCGCCCTTTTCTTAAACGGATCCGTTATTGGTAAGTGATGCCCTACCGACTCCGGAGTAAGCCCCGTTTGGGCAATGAAGCCCCTCCCTCGATGGCTGGAAGGGAAAGGGACGGAGGGACTTAAATCTACCCCAAAAAATGTGCTGGGTGGATTTGTGGAATCGGCTTAGAGGTAGTCCTCAATTTACGACCACAATGGAGCCCAAGATTTATTCTGCTAAGTGAGACACTTGTTAAGGGAGTTTTGCCACATTTTACGACTTTTCCTGCCACTTTGTTAAGTGATTCACTGGAGTTGTTAAATTAGTAACCTGGTTGTTAAGTGAATTTATTTTATTTTATTTTATTAAATTTGTATACCGCCCTACTCCCGAAAGACTCAGGGCGGCGAACAGCCATAAAATAAAACATGTAAATACAAAATTTAAAATAGAGATAAAACCGATTAAATAAATTTGGCTGAATCATTTTAAAACCCCAATAATTTAAAACCAAATTTAAAATTCCCATTTAAAAGAGGAAAATTTAGGTCAGGCCAGCTTGATGAAATAGGAACGTCTTAAGCGCGCGACGGAAGGTTTCCCCGTTGACTTTGCTCGTCAGAAGGTCGCAAAAGGGGATAGCATGACCCCGGGACACTGCGACCGTCGTAAATATGGACCCCTTGTCAAGTATTCAAACGTAAATCATGTGACCATGAGGATGCTGCAGTGGTCACAAGGGTGAAAAAATGGCCGTAAGTCATTTCTTTCAGTGCCGTTGTAACTTTGAACGGTCACTAAACAAACCGTTGAGAACTATCTGTACTTAATAATTACTACTTTAGACATTTATCTTTAGGAATCTATTTTACACAAATTGGTAAAATAGTTTAGGCATCTAAATACTTTAGGAATTTATCTTTAGGAATATACATTATTTTATATAAATTGGTAAAATAATAATAATAATAATTATTATTATTATTATTATTATTATTATTATTATTATTATTATTATTTTATTTCTATACCGCCCTTCTCCCGAAGGACTCAGGGCGGTGTACAGCCAATTTAAAAGCACAAGACACAACAATAATTAAAAATTAAAATAATTAAATAGATTTGGCCGATTTAAAACCCCAAAAAATTTAAAATACCCCAATTTAAAATTATTATATTGATAGCCCGGCCTGGCGGAACGACAGGGTCTTCAGTGCGCAGCGAAACACCCGGAGGACGGAGATCTTACGTATTTCCGGGGGCAGTTCATTCCACAGGGCTGGGGCTCCCACAGAGAAGGCCCTCCCCCTGGGTGTCGCCAGCCGACATAACTTGGCCGATGGCACCCTGAGGAGACCCTCTCTGTGGGAACGGACTGGCCGGTGGGAGGCTACTGGTGGCAGAAGTCGGTCTCGACTTCTGGGAATTTAGATTCCTAAAATAGTTTAGGAATCTAAATACCGTATTTTCCGGCGTATAAGACGACTGGGCATATAAGACGACCCCCAACTTTTCCTGTTAAAATATAGGGTTTGGGCTATACTTGCCATATAAGACTGCCCCTCTTCCAATGCACACCAAATAAAAATTAAAAAACATCAACTGGCTCACCCACAATGTAAAAGCAGCTGTGCTGGTCCCAAAATGGCCCCTGCAACAAGCAGGAACCTCACACAGCCACAAAAAGCCCAAAAAACCAACTTTCACACTTTACATACACAAAATTCCACATACAGCTTTGTGAGATTTTGTGTGTTTGTGTAGTTGGAGTGAAACACTACAGAAACACACTAAATCTCAGAAAGCTGCACAAATATTATTTTATTTTATTTTATTTTTATTTTTATATGAAAGCTAAATTTAAAACTTCCTAAACGGCTTCCTAAATGGCTAGGTCTAAAAAAGAACAACTAAAAAAACCCCAATTGACTATTTTTTTTAAAGCTCCCAAAGGGGAAAAAAACTTACCCAATAGAACAGGGGTCTTCAACCTAGGCAACTTTAAGACTTGTAGACTTCAACTCCCAGAATTCCTCAGCCAGCTTTGCTTTGCTGGCTGAGGAATTCTGGGAGTTGAAGTCCACAACTAACTCCTTGCTTGATTGCAGGCAGGGAGTTGCTTGCTTGCCTGAATAGATTCAAGCAAGCAAAGCAAGGCAAGCGTTGCGATTAGCAGCTGAGGTAAGCAAGCTGGAGGGGGAAAACTTTTTCCCTTTTACATGGCTCTGGCCATCCCAGCTGAGTTGCAGGGAACTCAGCTGGGATGGGATCGACCGTCAGAACTGGGACCGTCAGAGCCATGGTTCTGGCGATCCCAGCTGAGTTGCAGGGAACTCAGCTGGGATCATCAGAGCTGGGATCGTCAGAGTAAAAGGTAAAAAACTTTTTCCCTTTTACGTGGTTTCTGGCGATCCCAGCTGAGTTGCAGGGAACTCAGCTGGGATCGTCAGAGCTGGGATCCTCAGAGTAAAAGGGAAAAAACTTTTTCCCTTTTACGTGGTTTCTGGCGATCCCAGCTGAATTGCAGGGAACTCAGCTGGGATCGTCAGAGCTGGGATCGCCAGAGCTGGGATCGCCAGAGCCATTTAAGGCTCGTCAGAGCCTTTCGGGCTGGTCTGCCTGGTTACAGGAGAACTACACCCGGCGTATAAGACGACCCCCGACTTTTGAGAAGATTTTCATGTGTTAAAAAGTCGTCTTATACGCCGGAAAATACGGTACTTTAGGAATTTATCTTTAGGAATATACATTATTTTATATAAATTGGTAAAATAGTTTAGGCATCTGAATACTTTAGGAATTCATCTCTAGGAATCTATTTTATATAAATTCCTAAAATAGTTTAGGCATCTAAATACTTTGGGAATTCATCTTTAGGAATCTTTCCTAAAGAGGAAAAAAAAAATGACAGAAACTTAGAATTCACATTCCTGATTTTATTCTTCGGGGAAGTCCGAGCGCTCAGGAATGGTGTAAGAACTGATTTGATGATGAGAGAATAATGGCTACAGATAGACCTCAACTTAACGATAGTAATTGGGACCAGATTTTTCCCTTGCTAAGCAAGGAGGTTGTTACGTGAGCTTGTTTTTACGACTTTTGGACCACAGTTGTTAAGCAAATCAATGCAGTTGTTAACACCCCGGAACACTGTAATGGTCATAAGTACGAGTCAGTTATCAAGCCTCTAAATTTTGATTCTGTGACCACGGGGATGCTGCAATCCGTAATTGTGAAAAATGGTCATGAGCCATTCAGTGCCGTTGTAACTTCCAATGGTCACTAAATGAACTGCTGTAAATCGAGGACTACCTGTATAGTAGGGCAGTCAAACTCCCTGCCCACAGACCGGATGCGTCACACGCCTGGTTTAGCGAAGGGGGGGGGAAAGTCCCGATACATCACGTGACACCTCCGTGATAACGCAAGTTTGACATCTTTGTATAACAGTGTTTCTCAACCTTGGCCGCTGGACGATGTGTGGACTTCAACTCCCAGAATTCCCCAGGGGAATTCTGGGAGTTGAAGTCCACACATCGTCCAGCGGCCAAGGTTGAGAAACACTGTTGTATACGGTCTCCTGCTTGAGCAAGGGGTTGGACTAGAAGACCTCCAAGGTCCCTTCCAACTCTGTTCTGTAACTAATTAATTATTAGCTCTTTAGCTGCCCATGATGAATCAACCATGACGACGGAGCCCCTTAGCCTGCCTAAGCCGTGTTTTCCTGCCGTGTTTACCTCAAGGGCAAGCGCAATGTGTTCACGAGCTCACCTCCTTCCCATTAATATAATTGTGTTGTAGCACAATATATCGGCATGAATGAGGCAGCTCTGGGCATGGGAACCCAGCGGGAACCTTTTCACAGGGAAACGGTTCCTGTTGTTTTCTGATTTCCCTTTAATGCATATCTGGCAAAGACATCCTGTTTCCAGCGTTATTTGAAAAAAAAAGAGAGAGAGAGAGACAACCAAAAAAAAAAAAAAAAAAAAAGCCCAGATCATTTTGGGGTTTTGTGTTGTTGTTGTTGTTGTTCTTTTCCCCCCCTTTCCTTTTTCTCCAAGCGTGGAAGGCCAAAAAAAGATTATAACGCGGTCTTAAAAAGTTGTTTATCGAATGTCTAAATGGAGAAGAATTTTTTTTTTTCCTTTATCCCTCTCGACAAAAAACAACAACAACAACAACATTGTGAGGAAAACAATTGAAGCTGGGAATTTACTATCTTTAGGAACTTAGCCCTGAGAATCGGTTCCAGAGCAATATTTCATTCGGAGCGAGATGACTTGCAACCCCTTCGGTGCCACCATCCCGAAGCTTCCTTGGAGGGTTTGTGTTGGGTTGGAGCTCCTAATGTCTCAATTTTTCTCAGGGCCTTTAAAAGGGAAACACCCTCGAGACATGGCAGCGGTTGCATTCCCAAGGCCAACTGCAGGTACTCACTTAACGACTGCAGTTGAGCCCACGATTTCCGCTCCTGGGCGAGACACTTGTTAAGTGAGCCTTGGCTCATTTTATGACCTTTTCTTGCCACGGTTCTTAAGTGAATCACCGCAGCTGTTAAGTTGTAACGTGGTTGTGAAATGAATCTGGTTTCTCCATGGACCTGGCTTGTCAGTAGATCTCAAAAGGGGATTGCACGACCCTGGGGACCCTGCAACGGTCATAAATACGAGCCAGTTGCCAAGCGTCTGGATTTTGGCCACATGAGGATGCTGCGGTGGTCGTAAGTGTGAAAAACGGTCATATATCACTTTGTTCAGTGCTGCTGTAACTTCGAATGGTCACTAAATGCACTGTTGTAAGTCAAGGACTACCTGTATTACTTCATGTGGTGTCCCAGATGCTTCTGCTACATCTTCCACCATCCTTGACCAATGGTGGTACTGACCAGGGCTTATTTTTGAATTCCAAAACATCGGAAGGACACTCTGGTGCATGGAAAAATCAGGAATTTAAACCTGGACCATTCAAGTAGAAAGAAGATCGGTTATCCGAAGTCACGACATCTCCACTGTTGACCTGAAGACCTTCTTCATATCTATAGCTTTCCTATTAAGACAAGGGTCTCCAAGTATGGCAACTTTAAGACTAGTGGACTTCAACTCCCAGAATTCCTCAGGCAGCCATGTGGACTTCAACTCCCAGAATTCCTCAGGCAGCCATGTGGACTTCAACTCCCAGAATTCCTCAGGCAGCCATTGGATTTTTAACTCCCAGAATTCCTCAGGTAGCCATGTGGACTTCAACACCCAGAATTCCTCAGGCAGCCATTGGATTTTTAACTCCCAGAATTCCTCAGGCAGCCATGTGGACTTCAACTCCCAGAATTCCTCAGGCAGCCATGTGGACTTCAACTCCCAGAATTCCTCAGGCAGCCATTGGATTTTTAACTCCCAGAATTCCTCAGGCAGCCATTGGATTTTTAACTCCCAGAATTCCTCAGGCAGCCATTGGATTTTAATTCCCAGAATTCCTCAGGCAGCCATGTGGACTTCAACTCCCAGAATTCCTCAGGCAGCCATGTGGACTTTAACTCCCAGAATTCCTCAGGCAGCCATGTGGACTTTAACTCCCAGAATTCCTCAGGCAGCCATGTGGACTTTAACTCCCAGAATTCCTCAGGCAGCCATTGGATTTTTAACTCCCAGAATTCCTCAGGCAGCATGGCTCTCCATTCTTTGAAAAATTTCCAATGCTGATGGGTTCTGTAGTATCTCCCAGTTTTTGACAATACAGGACTGAAGTCACGCAGGCTTTTTAATACTCCCTCCATTCCTGCTTGTTAAGTTATGGCTCTAATATTTTCACAAATTGTCCAATCTTATAGAACTCTTATAGAAGAAGATAACTTCACCAGCTTTTTTTTTCTATGCCAATCTGACAAACGAAGGTTTCTACTCCCATCAGGGACTAAAAAGGCCCCTTCTGCCTTGGCTTCCAATCTATTAAAAGGTTTCTTGGGTGACAGAGTTGAACTGACTACTTCATCATACCATAAGATGTCTCCTGAAGCCAGATTGCCAACATATATATATTATATGTGTGTGTGTGTATATAATATAAATATATTAAATATATATATATTATATATTATATATTATATATATATATGTATATGTATATGTATATAATATATATATATTATATATATATATAAATATATACATATATATATATATATATATATATATATATACACATATATATATATAATTTTCCCTCCTGGAATTTCTCTCACACAAACCGACCCACAACCCTCCTCCTCTTCTTCTTCTTCTTTACCTCCAGGCCTTGCAATCGGAGATGTCCCAGACAAGCAGCCCATCGGCATCGTCCTCACCGTTCTCGGCGTGGTGGTGCTGGACTTCTGCGCTGATGCAACCGAGGGGCCCATCCGCGCCTATTTGCTGGACGTGGTGGACAGCGAAGAGCAGGATATGGCCCTCAATATCCATGCTTTTTCAGCCGGTACGATGTTTACGTTATTCCCCATGGTAACCCTGCAGCTTTATAGGCTGGTCTTTGTTGTGAAAGCTTGGGGAGGGGGGTGAGGGGAATACATGGTCCCCTCTGAAATCATTCCAAGCCAAAGACAGGAAGCATAACTGAATTTGGGCATTTTTTTCCCCTTTCTTTCTAGTTTAACATAATATATTTTAGTAACCATGTAATCACTAATGTTGTTTCCCACCTGCCTCTTGGGAGTGTGTGTGAGTTGGTCAGCCATATAATTAAACAATCCATTTAATTAATAAACGTATATACTGAAATAATTAATATGCCCCATGTATCAGTAGATTTTTAGTAAATAAAAGGTGGAAAAAGTGACATATAGTAAGTTCTTGAGAAGTTTTGCATTACATGGCTGTTTCTTTCTCTCTCTCTCTCTCTCTCTCTCTCTCTCTCTCTCCCTCTCTCTCCTCCCTCCCCCCTCTCTTTTTGAAGCCACTTATTTATTTAAAATTTTAAAAGGCATTTGTTGTAATCTCATTGCGACAGATCAGTCCCTTCTCTTTCTCTGGCTGTTTGTCCGTTTGAAGACTTCCATAAAGTAGATCTATCAAGCCCCCTGCGTGTTTTTAAGACTTTAATAATACCGTTTTGATTTTATTTTTTAAAAAAAGAGGACAGCAAAGAACATGCTGCTGAGATTTGCCGTTTTGTAGCCAGCTTTCCAGGCTGTTCTGAAACCTACATTTTATCCCTCTAATCTAAGTAGCAGTGTTGCTGCTAAACCCAGCCTCCGGATATTCATCGATTTTTGTAGGGCAGCGGTAGGATTTATTCAAGTGTGGCCTAGCGGTGTGATTCTAGCTTGTACTCGAATAAATCCTCCCAACTTTTTATAAATGTCAAGAGGGTAGTCACCCTCTTGACATTTTTTGACCATTTCCTTCATGAGGCGGGGTGGCTCACTGGCTTAATGATCCTGGAGATGGTCTCTGCTCCAGCGGTTTGAGTCCTAGCACCGCCGGGCAACATGAGTTCCCATCACTCATCTCAGCTTCTGTCCATTTAACAGTTCGAAAGCTCGTTTTATGCGAGTAGATAAATGGGTACCACTTCAGTGGGGAGATGAGTTGGTGCTCTGTTTAGGCAGTCAGATTCCTGCCAGCTCTGAACCTTCCCGGCCTCAGCGCCTGTTTGCAAGGTGACTCCGAGCCTTGGATGGCGCTGCAAAAAGAGCCGCTCGCCTTTCTCTCTGGTGCAAAGCCAGCTCGCCCTCTTGTGGCTCACCTTGGGAAGCACACAGACATTTCCTACGACAGAGCTGTAACTTGGTAGCCAAACTATAATTATGCAATGGCTTGCCATACAATAACAACAATAGTAATAAAAATAACAAAATACTGTGGTTTGCAAATGGAAGCTGGGCGACTATGGAGGAAGATATCAATGATTGTACCAATAGGAGTCCTTGGAGCAATACCCAAAGAGCTGCCTAGATGACATGGAAATTTTGAACTTACTAGTTCAAACCGTGAATCGTTCACCGTTCAGACCGTGAATCGAACTGAAAACTAAGTCAATAATACCGTGTTTCCCCGAAAATAAGACCCTGTCTTATATTTTTTTGAACCCTGAAATAAGCGCTTGGCCTTATTGCCATGCACTCAAAAGCCCGATTGGGCTTATTATCAGGGGATGTCTTATTTTGGGGGAAACAGGGTAATAATAATGATGATGATAATAATAATTTTCTTGTACAATAACAACAACAACAAACTACAAAGACTTACAAATAGAAATAGAACGACTGTGGCAAAGGCAAGGAAGGGTAGTACCACTAGTAATAAGCGCCTTGGATGCAGTTCCAAAACAACTGGAGCACCATTTGAACACTATTGGCATTGACAAATTTGCCATTAGTCAATTGCAGAAAGTGGCTTTACTTGGAACAGCTTCCATCCTGTAACACCATCCAACATCCAGATCTGCTTATCTCAGTCCCTGGTAGGGACTCGATAGGTACACAAGAATGCTGAACCCAGTCTGAACATCTGGCTGACTGTGCGATGATCAGTAGTAGTAGTAATAGTAGTAGTAGTAGTAAAAATAATAGTACTAGTAGTAGCCACCTCCTCCTTGCTTGGGAGTCTTTTATGCTTGGAAGAGGAATCTTAGCAAGAGCGAAGTAGTTCCTAACGCTTTACAAATGCACTTAAAAGAAATTGCCTCCGTCAGTTGTGTTCTCTTTTAAAAGCTTTAAGACTAGGGGAGAAGCCTCCAGAGGCTGCAGCCCAATCTTGCAGCTGAAGTTGGATGGCAGCAGGCCGAAGATTGAGGCAACTGGAAAAATGTTTATTGGTGGTGTGAATTTGAAGCACTCTTGCCTAACAGCGGCAAAGTCAGGGCTGAACCCCCCCACACACACAATTTGCAGTTGACACTGGGGTGACGATCCTATCCCCCACCCCAACTAAATATGAGTTTGAGATGGTTGAAAGAAAGACCTTCTGATCATTGCCAGAAATCGGAGGGAACTGCAGGAAAAAATAAAACCAGGGGTCTCCAAACTTGGCAACTTTTAAGGCTTGTGGACTTCAACTCCCAGAATTCCTCAGTCAGCCATCTTGACTTTTCTTTTTCTTCCCAGCCTTCGTCTGCAGTTGACTTCACCTTTTGAGGGAGGGTGGAACACAACATCGATGCTTGTTTAATTTGAACAAGCATCGATGCTGTGTTTCCTTCTCCACAAAGATGCTTCAAGCAGGGCAGGGGTCTCCAACTTGGCTACTTTAAGACTTGTGGACTTCAACTCCCAGAATTCCTCAGCCAGCATGGCTGGCTGAGGAATTCTTGGGAGTTGAAGTCCACAAGTCTTAAAGTGGCCACGTTTGGAGACCCCTGGACTAAACTATTGACCATAGCATGAATAACCCACTGCAGCTTTTCCCAAGCAGGGGAACTACCAAATCCATGCTGGTCAGGCCTCCTGGATTTAGTAGTCCTAGCTCCTCTGCGCATCACCAAATTGGGAGAAGAGTGGTGTTCGCCTGGTTATGCTTATGATAAGGGATTCTTGGTATTCTGTGAGCGCTGGCATGCTGATGATATTACCTAGTTTGGTAACAAAACGTCTGCGAGAAAACAACCAAGTTCAGAGAGCACCAAGGATCTCACAGTTCAACCGTGAGCTACAAATATTCTGCTGACAATGTTCAGATCCACAACGCTGAGCGCAAGAAAAGTCCAGGTGAAAATCCTTTGATGTTCCTCAAGGAACTTTCTTCCTCTTTTTCCCCACAATCCGCCACTCTTTGGGGGAGGAGCTGTGCCGATCTTCCCGCCTTTCACAGAGTGGCCATTTTGTACCTTTGCCTTTCTCTTCATCCGTAGGCCTGGGAGGAGCCATTGGCTACATGCTGGGCGGCCTCGACTGGATGCACACCATCTTAGGCAGCCTCTTCAAATCCCAGGAGCAAGTCCTCTTCTTCTTTGCCGCCATTATCTTCTCAGTTTCCGTTGTCCTCCACCTCTGCAGCATCGAAGAAGAGCAATACAACCCACAGCAGGACCGGATCGATGACGAAGCAGAGACCCTCTCAAGCGTGAAGCTGAGCGGCAGCCTCCCTCCCCTCAACCGGCTCAACATCATCAACGAGGAGGAGCCTTACGGGAACTCCCTCTTCCCAGACGAGGTCCAGTCCGAACAAGACCTCAACCTGGAGTTCCTGGAAGTGGACATTGTCAGGAGTAAGAGCGATTCGGTCCTGCACATGCCGGACGCCACCCTCGATATGGAATCGGAGCTGCTCTTCCTTCACGAGATCGAGCCTTCCATTTTTCAGGATTCGTCCTACCCGGCGACACCGCACAGCACCAGCCAAGAACTCATGAAATCCAAATTCAACCGCTTGTCCGCTTTCCTCAGGGAGAACGAGAAGGAGGAGGAGATGTTACTTGAGAATCACTTGAACGAGGCCAAAGTCCCCAACGGGAACGGCTCCCTACCAAAAGATCTCCTGAACGGACACGTCAGGATGGGCATGAAGCAGTCGTGCACCTCGAACTCCATGCGCCGGCGGAGACACATGTTCTACCGCCAGCCTTCGAACACCTTCTCCTACTACGGGAAGATCGGGTCCCACCACTACCGCTTCCGGCGGGCCAACGCCGTGGTCTTGATCAAGTCCTCTCGGAGCATGAACGACATCTACGACATGCAGAAGAGGCAGCGGCAGAGATACCGGCACCGGAACCCGAGCGGCGCGACCAACTCCAGCGGAGACACGGAGAGCGAGGAAGGCGAAACGGAAACCACCGTGAGACTCTTGTGGTTGTCCATGCTGAAGATGCCCAAAGAGCTGCTGCGGCTTTGCGTTTGTCACCTCTTGACCTGGTTTTCCATCATTGCCGAAGCCGTCTTCTACACCGACTTCATGGGGCAGGTCATCTTCCACGGTGATCCCAAGGTAAGAACAGCACTGGTGTCGCCAGGGGCTGATGAGCAGAAAAGGAAAGTTTGCACAACTACAAACACACAGCCACATACACACACACACAAACAAGGTTGGGTACCTCCTTAAAAGCAGATTTAGTCCCAATAGAAATTTGTAAAGGCAACACAACATTGTACATGAGTTATTCAGACTTGTGTAACATCCTGTGCCTAGTTGTCTGTGATAAGTGGATAGTAACGTCTAGGCAACCAGGGAGAAAGCGTTCCAAAATGTTTTTTTTTTTTTTTCTGCTTGGGATGTACCCATAAAGCTGACTTGATAGACCATTTTTACCTTTTTGTATCTGTAAGTTGAACTGAGAACATTTCTATTAAGGGCAAGTTCTAAATAGCCTTGTAGGAGGAGGAAGTGGAAGTGTGACGTCCTTGGTGCTCTCTGAGCTTGGTTTAGACAACATCATCAGCGCTGATAATTACTGATGGTGTTACCCAGTTAGGTAATGAAATGTCTGCAAGAAAACCACCAAGCTCAGAGAGCATCAAGGACCCCGCAGTCCTCCTCCTCTTCCTCTTCTCCACAAACCCCACTCCCTTCTAGCACTGATAACGTTACCTAGTTGGCCAATGAAACATCAGTAAAGGACACGGTGGCTCAGTGGCTAAGATGCTGAGTTTGTCAATCGAAAGTCGGCAGTTCAGCAGTTCGAATCCCTAGTGCCGCGTAATGGGATGAGCTCCCGTTCCTTGTCCCAGCTTCTGACAACCTAGCAGTTCGAAAGCAGGTAAAAAATGCAAGTAGAAAAATAGGGACCACCTTTGGTGGGAAGGGAACAGCGTTCCGTGCGCCTTTGGCGTTGAGTCATGCCGGCCACATGACCACAGAGGCGTCTTCGGACAGCGCTGGCTCTTCGGCTTTGAAACGGAGATGAGCACCGCCCCCTGGAGTCAGGAACGACTAGCACATATGTGCGAGGGGAACCTTTACCTTTACCTAATGAAACATCTGCAAGAAAACCGCCAAGCTCAGGGAGCACCAAGGACCCCACAGTTCAACCCTGAGCGAGCTACAAATCGTCTCTTTTAAAGAAGTGGAGCTAGCAAATGGGCGGGGAAGATAATCCATCATTCCTTGCAAGTCTTCTGCCTTTGATCAAAGCTTTCTTCTTTCCTGGCAGGCCCCTTCTAATTCTACCGAACTGCAGGACTACAGCGCTGGCGTCCAGATGGGCTGCTGGGGCTTGGTCATCTATGCTGCTACTGCTGCTGTGTGTTCCGGTGAGAGGCTCTTTGCTACCGTCCTAGATTAAGGTTGGGTGAATAGTTGCATAATTGGGAAGAGGAGGCAGAATGGTAAACCAGGGGATGATCGTGATGATGATGTTATCCATTCAGCCATGTCCGACGCTTGGCAATCCCATGGGCCAGGTGGTCTCTCCACTTCTTCTGATCTTCCACTACTTCTTTGAGTTGTCCGATGCTCTGGCCGGTCTCAGCTTTGATGGTGAACTAGAACATATTGAAGGATAACGTCTCCATATTAGAATGGGAAAGTCAGCGAATCTCCCAGACAAGACCTTAGTTAGTTTGGGACATTCTGCATGGAAAGTATGTTCTCTGCCGCAAAGCTAAAGCTCCCTTCCTTAATCATTTGTTTCCAAATTGCTGCCCTCAAATTGCATTGGTTGAGAATTGTAATCCCTGTAGTTCTGGGCATGAGGCTGGAGAAAGATCCTTGGCCCAAGACAAGGGGTGGGATTCTACCGGTTCAGACGAACCGGTAGCTCCGACAATCAGCTGGGAGCGAACCGGTTCGCTCCGACGATCAGGTGGGGGCACTCGCCTGCCCCTGGGCTTTACTGACCTATATCTTCTCACCTGATTCGTATGGTACAGTGGATTGTCTCTGCTCCCCAGCAGTAACGCAGAAGGTAAGATGTTAAACCGACAGGATCCCACCATTGTCCCAAGATATATCCTATAGACCATATATGGGTCCTATAAGCCTGAAATCTCCAAACTTGGCAACCTTAAGACTTGTGGACTTCAACTCCCGGAATTCCTCAGCCAGCCAGGAATTCTGAGAGTTGAAATCCACAAGTTTTGATGTTGCCGTCAAAACTTGGCCTGAGGATTGCACTCTCAAATTTCAAGCAATAGAATGGGAGAAGAATAGAAGACACAATCAGCCAATCATGTAACTCTTAAATTATCAGGCAATAACGCAGTTGATTAATCTCACATTCTCTTAACTAACGTGAGATTAATCAACTGCATTATTGCCTGATACTTGATGTGGCATTTCACACTTTTGGGAAGGTGGTTCCTCCCAACAGTTTTGAGTTTAACACAACTCTTAACCCTGGAAGGATTATCTCTCTTTGCTCTAAACCAGAGGTGTCCCACTTTGGCAACTTTAAGGCTTGTGGACTTCAACTCCCAAAATTCCCCAGCCAGCATGGCTGGCTGGGGAATTTTGGGAGTTGAGGTCCACAGGTCTTAAGGTACCAAGGTGGGACATCTCTTCTCTCAACCAATGAGCAATTTTAAGATGTATAGGTTCAACTCCCAGAATTCCCCAACCAGCCAATGTTGGTTGGAGAATTTATGAACATCTAACCTGGAAGCATGGATGGAAGAGGTTGAGTGGGTGGGTTGACTCCCTGATGGGAAAGAGGAGAGTTTTGGAGAGTAGGTTGTCCGCATCTGGACTATTGTAACGCTCTCTACATGGGGCTCCCCTTGGGGTACACCTGGAGGCTCCAACTGGTGCAGAATGCGGCCGCGCGGGGGATTATGGGAGCGACTGGGCGCTCCCATGTGACTCCTCTCCTGCGTGAGCTGCATTGGCTTCCGGTGGACTTCCGGGTGCGCTTCAAGGTGTTGGTGATCACCTTTAAAGCGCTCCATGGCTTAGGGCCAGGGTACTTACGGGACCGCCTTCTGCCACCAATTGCCTCCCACCGGCCAGTTCGCTCCCACAGAGAGGGCCTCCTCAGGGTACCGTCGGCTAGACAATGCCAGCTGGCGACCCCCAGGAGGAGAGCCTTCTCTGTGGTGGCACCTACCCTTTGGAACAATCTACCCCCAGAGATACGAGTGATCTCCGACCTCCGGACCTTTCGTCGGGCCCTAAAAACTCATCTCTTTCAGTTAGCTGGTCTCTCTTGATTTTATGATTTTATGGTTGGTTTTAAATTTTGATATGGATTTTAAATTGATAAATTTTAAACTATGGGCCAAATTTAATTATTTTAAATCTATTTTTTAATCGTACTTATGTATAAATGTTTTTTATTTTGGCTGTTCACCGCCCTGAGTCCGAAAGGAGAAGGGCGGTATAGAAATTCGAAAAATAAATAAATAAATAAATAAATAAATCAATCAATCAATCAATCAATCAATCAATCAATCAATAAATCTGTAGATGTTCAGAATGTTGTGTAACTGTGATTTGTGCCAATTGGTTTCCCAGCTTTACTCCAGAAATACTTAGACAATTACGACTTGAGCATACGAGTGATCTACATCTTGGGCACCCTCGGGTTCTCCATCGGCACGGTGGTGATGGCCATGTTTCCCAACGTCTACGTGGCCATGATCATGATCAGCACCATGGGAATCGTTTCGATGAGCATCTCCTATTGCCCCTATGCCCTTCTGGGACAGTACCACGACATCAAGCAGGTATGTGACCTTCTGGCTGGAATTCTGGGAGTTGAAGTCCACAAAGTCTTAAGGGTTGGACCTCCTTTGGGATTGGAGAACATCAGTTAGATCAGAGATGATTCTCCGGGATCTGACGGAAGTGCTTTCCAATCAAAGTAATAGAGCATCTCTTACCTTCCACTCATTTTTGGATTCCTATAATGCCACTAAATCAGGGATGCCCAACCTTAGCAACCTTAAGACTTGTGGACTTCATCTCCCAAAATTCTGGGGGCTGCAGTCCACGGGTGTTAAAGTTGCCAAAGTTATACACCCCTGCACTAAATCACCAAATGGCCTGGGATCTTTTAGCATATTCGCCGACCAAACGTTCACCGTTTTAAGACTAACCAGGTCTTAGAACTGTTGTGCAATTACTAGGTTTATGTCCATGGAGATTCTCAGTCACCCTGGTCATGGTTGTCCCAAAGGTGCTTTTTCAAAAAGGCAACTAGATTTTGTTTTTCCTTGAAGACGTTTCCCATCTCAGCCAAGAAGCTTCTTCAGTTCTTGGGTGAAGTTTCTAGAACTGAAGAAGCTTCTTGGATGAGAAGTAAAAGGTCTTCAAGGAAAAACAAAGAAGTTCAATTCGAACGGTCACTAAGCGAACTGTGGCAAGTCTACCTGTACTTTTTTTTAAAAAAATACAGTTCTGGAGGTTCTTCAGAAGAAGCGATGGAGAAATGGGGAACTACCTGTGCACCAATAGCAATAGCACTGATTTATATACCGCTTCACAGTGCTTTTACAGACCTCTCTAAGTGGTTTTAAAGAACCAGCCTATTGTCCCCAACCATCTGGGTCCTCATTTTACCCACCTCAGAAGGATGGAAGGCTGAGTCAACCTTGAGCAGTCAGGATTGAACTCCTGTCAGTGAGCTGAATTAGCCTGCAATACTCCATTCTTACCACTGTAACACCACCTTCCTTCCTTCCCTTCCTCCCTCCCTTCTTCCTTCCTTCTCTCCCTCCCTCCCTCCCTTCCTTACCTACCTACCTATCTGCCTCTCCCCTTTCTTTCTTCCTCCCTTCCTCCTTCCTTCCCTCCCTTCCTCCCTCCCTTCTTCCTTCCTTCTCTCCCTCCCTCCCTCCCTTCCTTACCTACCTACCTATCTGCCTCTCCCCTTTCTTTCTTCCTCCCTTCTTCCTTCCTTCTCTCCCTCCCTTCCTTCCTTCCTTACCTATCTGCCTCTCTCCTTCCTCCCTTCTTCCTTCCTTCTCTCCCTCCCTCCCTTCCTTCCTTACCTACCTACCTATCTGCCTCTCCCCTTTCTTTCTTTCTTCCTTCCTTCCTCCCTCCCTCCCTTCTTCCTTCCTTCTCTCCCTCCTTTCCTTCCTTCCTTACCTACCTACCTATCTTCCTCTCCCCTTTCTTCCTTCCTTCCTTCCTCCCTTCTTCCTTCCTTCTCTCCCTCCCTTCCTTCCTTCCTTACCTACCTACCGATCTGCCTCTTCCCTTCCTTCCTCCCTCCCTCCCTTCCTTCCTTCCTTCCTTCCTTTTTAGCACTAGCACTTAGATTTATATACCGCTTCACAGTGCTTTTACAGCCCTCTCTAAGTGGTTTACAGAGTCAGCATATATTGCCCCCAACAATCCAGGTCCTCGTTTTACCCACTTAAGAAGGCTGGAAGGCTGAGTCAACCTTGAGCTGGTGAGGATCAAACTGTCGAACTGCCAGCAGTCAGCAGAAGTAGCCTGCAGTACTGCATCCTCACCACTGCGCCACCAATGCAAACTCCTTCACCTTGACTTGTCTTTTGTTTTGTTTCGTTTTTGTGCTCTTTTTCACAGTACATCCATCACAGCCCTGGTAACTCCAAGCGAGGCTTTGGCATCGATTGTGCCATCTTGTCGTGCCAGGTCTACATCTCCCAGATCCTGGTAGCTTCCGCCCTTGGAGGAGTGGTGGATGCCGTGGGCACCGTCCGGGTCATTCCGGTAGTGGCATCCGTGGGCTCTTTCCTGGGCTTCCTGACAGCCACCTTCTTGGTGATTTACCCAGATGTTGGGGAGAGTTCGAAGGAAGAGCAGAAGGAGTTGGCCCCGCCTGCCACAGCGGAAAGCAGCGACGGGAACCAGGAGAAACCGATGGTGATCAAACTCACCCGCGGAAAAGATCCAGCTGCGCCAGAGGTGGAAAGCGAGTCGGCCGTTTGAAGGCATCTCCAGCCCCTCATGCACATTCCAAGCAATCCAGATTTAAAACCCAGAACATCCTTCAAAGCAAATTCAAAATTTTGAATTTTTAGCGGGCAGCCCCCGCTGTTTTAATTTGCAGCAGGGGATTTTAGGGTGGGGTGGGAGAAGTTCTTTTTTTGCAATTGTGGAGCCCAGAGAATTTTCATGTTGACGGCTTTCTCTACAATCCAGAAAAATATCCCCTTTCTCAGAGGTGTTTTTAACGAAGAGAAACGCTTTTTTGGATTTCCGAGGCGGTTTTTAATCAACAAGCAGGAAAATGTCCTTCTGGTTTTGGTTTTTAAAAGTTGCGGCATTCTTCTTTCTCTTTTTTTTTTTCCCCCCGCCAATTATTCATTTGGACATTTTGTAATTTTTATTTTATTTTTTTGGACAATTGGAAAGTTTGGGATTTAACTTAAGCCGTTCTTAACTTCCGCTTTTTCAGGAAAATGAAAGCTTTTGCTGTTATTTTATCCAGGCCGCATGGTTTTTTCTTAAGACAATCAATTGCATTTGGTTGAAATTTGTGCATTTGTAGAATCGATGCAATATTAAAATCGACAGCTTTCCTTGGTTGTGGGGGGGGGGTGTTTCCTCCCCCTCTCCTCTCTTGAACTTTGGCCTGGAACTCATTATTTTAGGAGTCACTGCTATTTCCAGCCCCCCCAAATTTAATGTGAAATTATCGCAGCAGAGTTAACAGCGGGAATGCTTGTTCGTTTATTTATTTATTTTAAAAAATAAAAAATAAAACTCAGACTGATGGGGTAATTTTCACTTTGGACCCCCCCCCCCCCGGGCAATCTGGATCCATAGAAGCTATTTTTGGTGGAAGGAAAGAGAATTCTAGCCATTTGGGATAGTGAGGAAAAGATAGTGGGGAAAAAAGCAGTGACTATTGATACCAACAAACTGGGTCAATTTGAATTTTGCATTTTTTTTGGTTTTGTTTTGTTTTTCCAGCTTAGTGGCGTTTAAACGCCGTTCATCTCCTTTTGCGACAAAGCTGCTTGGGGAATCTCCATCGTCAGTCTCTTCGAGTAGATTGTGTGGGTTCCCACGGGTTTTGTTTTGTTTTTTTTTGGAGGGGGGGGTGTGGGGGAAGGGAGGAGGAGGGTTGTTGATTGCACTTTTCCAGGCTGGAAACGGTGGCGAACAGGTGATCTCGCAAAAACCAAAGGCCTACCTCTGAGATTTTGCAGAGTAGCGAATATTTGTCTGCCTACGTGTTCGATTGTTTGTTTTTTTTCCTTGCTTGCTTTTTATTTTTTTTTATTTTTTTTAAAAAAAGAAAAAGCTTTTGGGCCTTCAAGTACGCAACTTTTTTTTTCAAAACGCTGCGGCTTTTTCCTCGGCTTCAAAAGGGGTGTGTGTCTGTGAGATGTCGCCGGAGTCTAAAAGAAATTCTTGCTCAGTTTTTTTTCCTCAGTCAAAAATTCCGACCCGCCTTTCTCGTTTCTTTGGATCGGACGTTTGATTTGAGCACTTCGCATACAGTCCATGCGTAAGGCCCCCACCTTCTCCAACGGTGTCCTTCGAAGGCACTGAAATTCTGCGACTGGAGGAAGCCGGAAATTCGGCAGGTCCAGCACTTCAAAACTAAAAAAGCAAAGGCATAATTCGGGACGAATTCCAGGGGAGCCCCTAGTAGGCCAGACTCTGATTCCATAACCACATAAAGGCGGGGCATGTAACCCCTTCGGTTTTTGGCTCCTCTAGAAAGTTCTCCTCCCATAAACGGTTTCCGATGCAGATTTTTCAGGTGGAGTGTTGCAAATTTGGGAGACCCTCTTGGTATTTTTTCATTTTCCCTGCTGCTCCTTCCGGTAACATCTCTGTAAAACGCATGTCAGCGAGCCTAGCGCTTGAGAAGCAAGTATTTATCTTTCTCTATATATCCAATTCAGAGAAGCCGTTTTTAATCTCTTACTTGAATTGTCGATCCGTTTTAAAAGAAAACGTTTCACGTTTTACATAGCTGTAGCCATTGTCCTTCGGCTGGGGTTTTGGAGAGCTCGGAAGAGGGAGTTCAACCAAAGACGGGTGGATCCCACCGTAACAGTTCCCCATCTTTGACTTGGTCGACCACGGCCTGAGGACAGTCCCTGGTTATACCGCATCTTCGGTCTTCGGCCAGTCCCGTCTCGTGCTTTTCAGTGGTCCTTTTACCTCTCCTCTTTAAATAGAAGCTCGTTTTCATAGAAGCTCGTTTTCTACCGGAGTTTCATAGAACTATTTTTAAAAGGACCGAAATAATATTTCCTTTCTCCCTCTTCATCACCCATCCACCCCCACCCTCCAAAATCTGTCATTTGGAACATTTGCTTAAGGGTTTTTTTTTTTTAAAGAGGGCGACCTGAAGGCCATCGAAGTTGGGAAACAGATTTTACGTCGGAGTTTTTAGCTAAGCGTGTTCTCCTCCTGTCGCACCCTGTCGCACCTGGAGACTTTACCTGTCGCACTCTGTCGCACCCAGAGACTTTACCATGAGAGAGGGGGTTTTCTCCTCACCTCCCCCTTCCGAATAGTTGCTCAGTGCAATTCCTTTTAAATCTGCAATTTTAACTACGACGCTCGGCCTTTTTAGAAGGGCCCTGCTGAATAGGAGTCTCGATGATTCATATGAATTGAGATGCTAATTTCATGCTAATTAGCATGATGCTAATGCCATGCTCATTTTCTCTTCTTGGAGTTAAAAACAAGGAAGAAAAAAAAATCCCAATCCTCTCTATCTCCCTTCCGCGGAGTTTTGCTCTTTTGAGTTGATCATTCCCTTCCCCGAAAGCTAGTTTTCATTCCGTTCCATCAATAAGCTAAATAAATAGATCCACATTCTGCTTGGCAGAGAAACTCGAAGCATTCAAGGTGGTGGCCACGATTGTATGATTGATGCCACGCTCCCTTTTCCCCGCACATGCATTGCACCTCTTAAAAGGGGAGGAGCTTTGATTCCCATAACGGCCATCTTGATTTTTTTTGTCTTCACCCCAGCCTTCATCTGTGCCTGACTCAAAATCAAACAAGCAACTGTGTGGTGGTTCCCCCCGCCCCCCGCAACTTCCTTTAGGGCAGGGAGGAGGGTCTCCAACCTTGGCCACTTTAAGACTTGTGGACATGCTGGCTGGGAATTCTGGGAGTTGAAGCCCCCAAGTCTTAAAGTGGCCATGATTGGAGACCCTTGCTTTAGGCCAGGGTGAGTCAAAACATCAGAGAGAGTGCTTGGTCCTTCCTGGCTAAGTGAGAAGGCCTCGCCCATCGTTCGATGACATCCTTCTTGGTTCTGGGATGGGAAAACGAAAGGGAAGGCCTCTCAGATGTTGGGCTAGGAAAGTGGATTTGTGTTTGGGTCCTTCTCCTTTTGAGCCATTGGATAAACCACACTGCCAAACCCAAGTTAGTTTCCTGCCCAGTTCTGGTGAGGAAGGACCTCTTGGCTTGAAAGTCCCATCTTCTCAGCGTTGCTCATGTTTTAGAGTTCCTGGCAGAATCACTCCCCTTTTATCTCTGGAGGTTTCTCTTAAGAACATCGAAGTGCTTTCAAACTTGGCTGCCCTGATGTCTGAAAAGTGACGTGCAGGCTATCATTAAATTGGTATTAAATTAAATGGAAATTAGACCTGAGCTTTAGATTCGTAGGTCTATTTGTCTTATCTGGAAGATGATGGAACACACCCTTTGCTTTTTTTTTTTTTAATTGAAAATGATTTAATCACATGTCATTAAAACCCAGGACACGATTTGGGTCTTTCTCATTCAATTCAGAGATCCCCAAATTATATTGGACAAAAACTGAAAGCGTAATTTGAGAGTTTTTAGACTAGCAAAAAGCCACCCTGGCAATATTGGTTTGGGCCTTGGGATGAAAACGAAATTCACTGCAGCCTAAGAATGCTTCTATTTCCATTGAAAAAATCCTCAACCCTTCAGGTTGTTTAATTAAAACCCACATTTTTCCTTCAATGTGATGCATCTTATCTTGTCTATCAAATTCGGCTGGCTCTCTGCAGTCCTGCTTAGCTGTTGACCAGATTTTCTTTAGGAAGTACAGAAATTTATTTTCTATTGGATATGACTTTTCATCATTTTAGGATGAATTAGGAGGTGGGGGGGGAGGAAAAGCAATAATCGTTTTTCATTTATTTTTGGAAATGGGCTCTTATTTGATTATAAAGACTTTTACCCAACCAGCTGTTCAAATATTCTCTAATGTTTCAAGTACCTCATTCAGACCCTGTTGGAGGTTTGTCAACGAAGGGACCTCCTTCACTCCGAAAGACAACGGAGGTTGGGCGAGCAGCTCATCTTGAGAAGGAATTTGATTTTTTTTCAGGTCCTCGGATGGGCCATTTAATTTAGATTATTCATTGCCACTGGAGAACTTCTGGACAAGATCTCCAGTCCATCATGGTGGTCTTCCTCCATGCTAAACCTCCTGGAGGGAAGAACTTTGGAAGAACAGGCATTCTTTGATTTTAAATGTTTTGGAAAGATCTCCGGCAGAGATGCAAAAAAAAAAACAAGTTCAGTTAGAGCTGAAGTGTATCACGCCTGATTCGCTTCAACTCCTGGTAGCAAATGAGAATCAGGCTGGGCCTTCAAGGAGATCTTTCAGGTACAAGCAGAACAAGAGGGAAGAGAAAGGAGCCATTGTGCCACTGCACTTTTTTAAAAAAAAACCAAACAGAGAACTGGCAGATACTCCTGGGTAGAAGCTTCTGGTGACGACTTTCTAGATCAGGGGTCTCCAACCTTGGCAACTTGAAGACTGGAGGACTTCAACTCCCAGAGTTCCTCAGCCAGCAAAGCTGGCTGAGGAACTCTGGGAGTTGAAGTCCACCAGTCTTCAAGTTGCCAAGGTTGGAGACCCCTGATCTAGATCCAATTTGATTGCAGCTCAGTTTGGAAAGTTCATCTATCTCTTTTACTTTTCCGTCAATTCACCTTCGAGCCCTCCTTGTTCCTTTAAACCACTTGAACCCGTGCGCCGTCCATTGCCCTGTGTTTGCCAAGGCGTACACCTTTTCCGTGCCCTGCTAACCAGTGGCAGGCCACGTTCGATTTGAGTTTGCAGCTTCCTCAGCACTCTCGCACGAAGTCGTGCCAGTCATGCGTAGGAACCGGGGACGATCGGAGAAGCGCTTTGTCATTTTCGTTCATTCGTTCAGGCGGCTTTGGTTTCTCGCTCATATAAGCCAAGTAAAACTTAGGGACATCCAAAGTTGCAGAAAGTTTGAAAATTGGGAGGCTCGTGTTGCAGAAAGGAAGAGACACCCAGAGAAGTGGAGTGGGGAGCCAAAATTGTTTCGGTTGTGTCCTAAGCTGTGGATTTTGCACGTAGAGTCCCAGAGCAGTGATTATTATTATTATTATTATTTGGCAAAAAAAGATCAAACTACATTGATAAAAAAAAAAAGTCATTTGCAAAAAAAAAATATCCAGAGTCCCTGTTTCCATGTTGCGCTTTCAACTTCCATCAGTAACATACCTCTTACTAGAATCTTCTTGATGGTTGGGTGGAGATTATGGGAGAATCTGCAATTGGGAAAAAGGTTTATGGGATCATAAGGAGTTTCTCCTCCTTTAGCACTTCCCCAGACAGTTGGAATTCCATTAAATCGTTGAAATATTTTGCCACCTGTGACAGAACGAATTTAGGACGAGTTGGTTCCTGATATTGCAAACTGCCTTTAGTGAGAGGATCACTGAATCTTCCTTTGGAATAATTCCTCGGTCCCCAAGGAATCGCAAAACGGACCGGTTTTCTGTAGCGTCCTCCAAAGTTGCCGAAAAACACAACTTTGGAAGCTCTCCTGTCGCTGTCACATCGATTTGGTCCAAACGTCGGGAAGGGATGGCGTGGGGTGATCACTTCTCAAGAGCTGAGATCTTGCTTCTTCAGAATCAGGAAAAAGGGGGCTGAGGTGTCCAGCTTTTCCCAGAGGTCCCCTTCATTAGAGGTAGCCCTGGCGAGCTGTGAGGTCCGTTTCCTTCACAGCCTCCAATGTCTCACGGGTGATAATGAAGTAGCTTTTCCAACATTGGTTGTTTTTTTGTTCTTCTTTCATTTCTGGTGCAACCTTGGACCTGCCACTTGCTTGGTAGTTAAATGGCCAGCTGAATTTTGTTCGTTTTTTTTGTTTTGTTTTGTTTTGTTTATTTTGGAAAAAAAAATAAATGCCTCATCTACTGAAAAGCTGCATATAGGCATCTCATAAAGAAAATAAATAAATAAATAAATATAAGTATATATAGATATCTATAATTAGTTCCATTGTGAACTGGCCATAAGAAACTTCTTTTTTATCAACTTATTAAGTTGGAGCACTATACTAGCTCTTGCTGAGTTTAGCAATGTTTATAAGTGTGTGTTAAAACACATAACGTTTCACGTGGACTGAGAGAAAAGGGATAACCGAGACGCAGAGTGTGAGTGGCGTGAACGCCTGGCATTAATATGATTTCACCACAGATAATTTTCGTTTTTGGTGTTTTGGGGTTTTTTCTTTTTTTGTTTTTTTTTTTCCTGGACTTCATTGCATGAGAAAACCGATGAACTGTTCCGCACTTTTGATCTGTTGGTATATTTCGTTTTTTTTCCCATGTATCGTTAGAAGTGGCTGAATGTAAAAAAAAAAAAATTTCAAAAATTCACAGTTACATGTGCTCAATCCATTGTTCTACAGTTCAATCTTAATAAACATTTCAATAAGAGAGATTGGTTTGTGTCTTATCTCTGCGGGGATGGGGAGGGGGAAATCGTTCTGGAGTGTTCTGACCAGGGGCGGGTTCTAAATTTTTTTACTACCGGTTCTGTGGGCGTGGCTTGGAGGTCATATGACTAGGTGGGCGTGGCTAGCTGGTCAGAGTCATTTCTGGAAGGTCCTCGCACTTACGACCGGACTCATTTGTTTGCTTTTAACACTGATCAGCTGTAGGGCGGCCCTTTGAAGCCCCACAGCAAGAGTTTAAACAGTTTTTTTCCCTCTAGTCATCAGCTGGGACTCAGGAGGCAGCAATAGATTGGGGGTGGGGCCAAATAAAAGGTAAGAATAACGTGGGAGGGCGGGGAGGAAGAGAACTGGTTCGGTGACGTCATATCGTCACCGCTACTGGCTCGGCCGAACTGAACCAAACCGGGAGGAACCCACCACTGGTTCTGACTCAGCTCCCCAAACATGACAAACCCTCTGACGTGAACTCAACAAGATTCCTTTATTAGGAGCGCCGGCAGCCCCAGCAAAAAGTTTATCTTGCAGGCTAACAAGTCCAGCCAGCTGGAAGATGAAAGGTTTCATCTCCACCACCCCCCGCCCCCGCCTTTTATCCCCAGAGCTAGAGTGGACTTCACTAGCAGCAGTGGCTCTTCCTTCCCCAGGACCAGCCCATAGATTTCCACTGCTCTCCTCTCCTCTGCCTTCTGTGCATCCGCGAGTCAGGCACTGGACCCAGCTGTTCCTCCTCTTCCTCATCAGCCACCTCCAAGACCGCCCAGGCTCCACCTCTCTCTCTCTCTGCCAGCTCCATTCCCTCTTCCCCCTCGGAGCTCTCAGGTTGCCTTGATGCTGGCTTTGACTCCCACGCCTCCTCCTCCTCCTCTGATTTGGCTTTTGGAGGGGCCGGCGGCCAACAGCCACAACACTTGAGTGCATATTTACACACACACAGTCTTTCGACTAGTGACTATTTGTTTAATGACTGTTTAAGTTACAAAGGTGCTGTAAAAAGTGACTTGCAACCAGTCCTCAGACTTAACAACCATTATAACATCCCGCAGTCACATGATCAAAGTTTTGGGCCTGGAAAGCTGCCTGCACCAACCTGGAAGCCAAAACAGAGCAAGGGGGGCCGTGTGAGGCACACACACACACACCCGTACCCCATTTTGGGCCTGGAAAGTTTTCTGCACCAACCTGGAAGCCAAAATGGGGCACGCGGTGGGGTGCACAAGGCCCCACTATGCCCCATTTTGGGCCCGGAAATTTTCCTGCACCAACCTGCAACACCCCCGTACATGCACCCCACCCCACCCCCCATATGTGCATGTCTCCCATGCGTCCCACTTCCCGCGCATGTGTGGCAGAGACCCGAAGACCAGCTGGCCGGCAGGAGGTATGCGCACATGCGCAGTGGAGCTGGGCTGATGCAACAGCTGGCATGCCCACAGAGACGGCTCTGTGTGCCACCTGTGGCACACATGCCACAGGTTCGCCATCACAGCCCTCTACCATTTCAGACAAGGAATTGTCCAATTTCTTTCTAAAAACCTACAGTGATAGCGCACTCACATCTGAGCCAAGATCAGATTAATTTAGAAAGTTCTCTGGGAAAATCCCTATTTTTTTTCCTCCTCTCGGCAGAATCGGGTTTGAAAACTACGAGATTTAAGTGGTGATGAAGAGAGCCAAAGCTGCCAAGAAATCACTGGAAGGTGGCAGGGCGGGAGTTATGGGCTGTGAGATTTTGAGACGCCTGTAACTTTGGAGATGTAATGTGAGGAAATTTGAAGTGTTGACAGGTTCGAATGATGGACAGATCCATTTAGGGGATTGCCAAATGCTTTGGAGTGGACTGTCTAAATATAAACACTGGATAAAGGATGAACTCGGGAGATCTTTTTCATAGTATAAATCGTTACGCCAACTTAGTGCTGCCAAAAAATAAGAAGAAGAAGACAACAGTGAGGAAACAGTGGGAGCACCACCAAGAGTAAAGAAGGATTGCCCTCCGTCTTCCCTGTGACTCAGACCACAAATGGCAACCAAGGTAGTAGTATGGCTTTGGTGGGGGAATAGTTGTGACCGAGGCCCAAGTAGTGATTACCAAACACAATTCAGTCCTCAACAAACTTATTTTATTAAAACAGTTGAGAATTAATTCATTCTCAGCTTACTCCAAAACAAAATTCTTCATAACCAGTCCGTCGGCCTTATCACCAACGTTTGATGTCTTTGGCAACCTGCCAAAGGCTTTTCTTGGCAAAAACCCCACAAAGTTCAAGAGACGCTGACAAGAAGCACTGGGATCAACGTTGCTTTTCTACAAAGAACCCAACGGCTCGTTGCTGCTCTTTTAAGCCTTCTGGGAGGGGCCAATCATCTCCTGGCCTTACTCCCGAGTCGTCCTTTTTGCTTCAGCTGCTCTTGCCTTCTGGCAGCTCTTCTCATACATGCACTAGGAACAGGCTCCTCCTGTTCCTCTGCCTCTCTGCTGTCCACCTCTGGAGGCTCCGTAGTCCGTGCATTGCTCCCAGATGGCCCTGGCCCCATCTCTGCCTCTGACGCAGAGCCCTCGTCCAGGCCTTCCCCTGACTCCAGGACTGGCCCGTTGTCCTCCCCAGCCTCCTCACTGTCCGACTCCGCAGGCTGCTGGCAGACCACAACAGGAATAGCACCAGGGAGACTCTGGGTCAAACAAACCCATCTTCCACCGTGGAAACTCAATCGGGCACTTTGACCTATCCCTCTCTTGGTCCATCCTACTTTACAAGTTGTTGTGGGGATTAAATAAAGGGAGAGCTTCAGAAGAACTCCAGAAGGAAAGAGGGACATAAATCTAACGAATGAACTGATCCAAAATGTCATTCAGAGCTTGTGAGGTCCTTGGTGCTCTCTGAGCTCCGTTGTTTTCTTGAAAACGTTTTATTACCCAACTAGGGAACGTCATCAGTGCTAGGAAGGAGTGGGGTTGGCTCTCTTGTTTACGCATAAGTGGTTTGCCCTATCCATGTTGGTGGGAGTGTTCTGGTAGTTCTGTGATTAGACAAACCTAAACGACAACTTAATGAATTTCTGGAGGCAAGTTGTTCCACTGGTCAATTGTTCTCACTGTTAGGAAATTTCTCCTTAATTCTAGGTTGCTTCTCTCTTTGATCAGTCTCCATCCATCGCTTCTTACCCTGCCCTCAGGTGCTTTGGAGAATAGGTTGAGCCCCTCCTCTCTGTGGCAGCCCCTCAAATATTGGGAGATGCTATCATGTCTCCCCTGGTCTTTCTCTTCACTAGACCAGCCATGCCCAGTTCCTGCAACCGTTCATTGTATGTTTTAGCCTCCAGTTCCCTAATCATCCTGGTTGCTCTTTGCACTCTTTCTAGAGTCTCCACATCTTTTTTATAGTGTGGTGACCAAAACTGGATGCAGTACTTTAGGTGTGGTCTTACTAAGGCTTTATAGAGTGGTATTAGTACCTCCCTTGATCTTGATTGAATCCCTCGGTTAATGCAATTTAGGATTGCATTGGCTTTTTTGGCTGCCACTACGCACTTTGTTGCTTGGTTCTTCCCTTTCCCAATTAGAAAATGGGGAGGGCTGCCCTCCCCTCCTTTGACCAAGAGCTCTGACCATTAAAGGGGCAGTTTGTGTCCTCCAAATATTCTCCCTTGGATAAGAACTTTGCCTACTTCATCCACCCACTCCTTTAGGAAATTGGCCTGAGAGCGGATTTAGGACTCGGATTCCAAGCTTCTATTCATCGGGTCATTTTTAATCACACGACTTTATCAAAAGGAGGCAAAATGCAGAGAACAAAAAAGGCAGCGAGGCAGACAAAAGAGATTTCCAGGGTGACTCGGCTGTTCCTTTTCCTGAGGCCACACGGTATTTCCTCAAGGAAGCGAACGAAAGCTTGCAGGGGCATTAGGTGTGCAAAAGACTGCCCTGGTGTGGCTATTTTGCACAATCGCAGGGGAAAACACCCTCAAACGCTTTCTGTTGTGCGTCTCCTCTGTCTGGAAATTGCTCCCGTGGGAATGCAGGTAAGCTCTTGACTTACAACAGTTCATTTAGTTTAGTTCCTAACCGTTCAAAGTTACAACGGCATTGTGAAAAGTGACTTACGACCGTTTTTTTCACACTTAAGACCATCGTAGCGTTCCCAGCGATCACGTGATCAAAACTGAGACGCTTGGCAATTGGTTCATGCTTACGACCGTCGCTGTGCCCCGTTGCCTTTTGCAAACTTTTGACAAGTACAGTCCATGGGGAAGCCATGTTGTTCACTTAACAACCAGGTTACTAACATATCAACTGCAGTGAATCACTTAACAACCGGAGAGGCAAGGAAGGGACAAAACTCGATGGACACGTCTCACTTAACAACAGAAATTTTGGGCTCAATTGTTGTCATAAGTCAAGGACTACCGGTAATAGGGATTCATTTCTAGTGGGACGTTTCAGATGGTTCCATGAATGAGGTTCTCTTCTAGAACGAGGGCAGTGGACTAACTGATCTTCCAACCCTTCCATTTTTCACTTACATTGTAAAATTACATTTTACAATACAGCTCTTACAAAAGAGCAAGCAAGAAGATTAGGGGGCTCTGGAGACTAAAACATACGAAGAACAGTTGCAGGAACTGGGCATGGCTGGTCTAGTGAAGAGAAGGACCAGGGGAGACAGGATAGCAGTTTTCCAATACTTGGGGGGCTGCCCCAGAGAGGAGGGGGGTCCAGCTATTCTCTAAGGCACCTGAAGGCCAGACAAGGAATAATGGATGGAAACTGATCAAGGAGAGATTCAACCTGGACATAAGGAGGAATTTTCTGACAGTGAGAACAATCAACCCATAGAACAGAAGTTGCCTCCAGAAGTTGGAAAGGTAACAGAGTTGAAGGGGCCTTGGAGGTCATCTAGTTCAACACAGGAGACCTGTACTAGGGATTCGAACCGCCAAACTGCCGACCTTTCTGATTGACAAGCTCAGTGTCTTAGTGGAAGCTTCATCCCTGGAAGCTTTCAAGAAGAGACTGGACTGCCATCTGTCTGGTATGTTATAGGGTTTCCTGCCTGAGCAGGGGGTTGGGCTAGAAGACCTCCAAGGTCCCGTCCAACTCTGTTATTCTGAATTTTTATGATTCTGTGATGTTATTACAGAATAACTCTCTCCCACTTCAACTCCATACAGCAGCAATTCAGCGGCACCTCTGCCCAAGGACAAAGCTTTCCCTCTGCTGGTCTCCTTACATTTCAAACCCCTTTCAAAATCCTTTTAGGAAGAGCTGTGGCTACACCAGGTAGAACAAATGGAAGCCTGGAGCAAATCCAGCCATTTAATTAGTTATCAATCCACATCAGGGTTCTCTGCAGAACTGGACACTCAGAATAACAGAGTTGGAAGGGATCTTAGAGGTCTTCTAGCCCAACCCCCTGCTTAGGCAGGCAACCCTACACCACTTCAGACAAATGGTTATGCAACATCTTCTTAAAAACTTCCACTGTTGGAGCATTCACAACTTCTGAAGCAGTGGTGAAATCTGAACCGGTATAGTACTCGGCCGAAGAGATTGTAAAAAAAATGCTTTTAAAAGGCTCTGACAATCCCAGCTGAGTTGCCTGATCGTCAGAGGCTTTTTTTTTCTTTTAAAAGCATTTTTTTTTTTTGCTTTTAAAAGTAAAAAAAAAAAAGCCTCTGAAGATCGCGGGGCCCCGCCGGGCAAGGGCCGGGGGGGGGGGGGCAGGGATTTTTGCTACCAGTTCTCTAAACCACCTGCCTCCATCGCTACCGGATCGGGCAATCCGGTCCGAACCGGGAGCATTTCACCCCTATTCTGAAGGCAAGCTGTTTCAATGGTTGATTGTTCTCACTGTCAGAACATTCCTCCTTATTTCCTGGTTGAATCTCTCCTTGTTCAGTTTCCATCCATTATTCCTTGTCTGGCCTTCAGGTGCCTTGGAAAACAGGTTAACCCCTTCCTCTCTGGGGCAGCCCGTCAAATATCGGAACACTGCTATCATGTCTCCTCTGGTCCTTATTTTCATTAAACTAGACATACCCAATTCCTCAACAGACAGCTAGAAAGTTAAAGAAGTAACTTTCTTTCACCCCATCCCAAAAAAAAAAAAAAAAAAAAAATTGGCAAAAAAGGATATATTCAAATAAGCCCGGCGAAGATCAGGATTTCCAGCTCCTTTCCACCCTGCTAAAACATCATTCTTCTCTTTCTTTAAAACGTCATTTTTCCGTTCCTGGAAACCGGCTCGTCTGCCCTGAACCGTGTTAGCGGGGAGGTCAGCCCATCTCCAGGCGCAGAGGTCAGCAGCCAGACTTGGCCCTGCGACTCAACATCGACAAAATCAACAAGGCTTGCCATTGCTTATAAATTCTCGGAAACCCGTCTCCGTGATTGCCAGAATCCCAGACACAGAAGCACTTGGGGAAAAAACGCTGAGCGACGGTACGCGCACGAGGAAAAAGCCGGTTGTGGGAAAGAGCTCCTTGTGCCAAAATCCCAGATGGCCAGAGGACCAGTTGTGTTAGGGGCGCAACTTCGACGGGGGTTCTGTTGCTGAGCAAGCCATTTTCATCGACGCTTCCCAAGGAGGTCCTCGAGGCTCCCGTTTTCCTAATTCCCAACCGTCACAGATGATTTTCCACCTCTTGAATGGGTTTTCTCAGGCAAGGGGATGGCTAGAGAAACGTGGATTGAGGCCAGCTCACCTGACAAGCGGTGTTGCAGGAAGTGGAAACGTCCTTCAAAGAATTGGGATGCTGCTCAATTGTTCCAATTAGAATAGAATAGAATTCTTTATTGCCCAAGGGGGATTGGACACACAAGGAATTTGTCTTTTTGTGCATACGCTCTCAGTGTACATAAAAGAAAAGATACGTTCGTCAAGAATCCTAAGGTACAACACTTAATGATAGTCATAGGGTACAAATAAGCAATCAGGAAACAATATCAATATAAATTGTAAGGATACAAGCAACAAAGTCACAGTCATACAGTCATAAGTGGGAGGTGGTGGGAACGATGAGAAAATTAATAGTAGTGCAGATTTAGTAAATAGTTTGACAGTGTTGAGGGAATTATTTGTTCAGCAGAGTGATGGCATCCGGGAAAAATTGTTCTTGTGTCTAGTTGTTCTGGTGTGCAGTGCTCTATACAAGTTATACCAGTTAAGTGCTCTGCCCAGAAAAGAAATTGGTACAATAGTCCTTGACTTACAACCATTTGTTTAGTGACCGTTACAATGGTTACAATGGAAAGTTACAATGGCATTAAAAATGTGACTTATGACCGTTTTTCACATTTCAGACCATATGGTCATATGATCAAAATTCAGATGCTTGGCGATTGGCTCATATTTATGACCATTGCAGTGTCCCGAGGCCGTATGATCCCCTTTTGGGACCATCTTACAAGCAAAGTTAATAGGGGAGCCAGATTCGCTTAACAACCTGTTATTAACTTAACTGCAGTGATTCACTTAACAACTGTGGTAAGAAAGGTTGTGAAATGGGGGAAGTTTCATTTAACAACTGTATTTACTAGCGATGAAAATTTTGGGCTCCATTGAGGTCGTAGGTTGAGGATTTCCTATACAGGTAGTCTTCAACTTACGACTACAATCGAGCCCAATTTTTTTTTGTTGTTATGTGAGAAATTGGTCACGTTTTGCCCCATTTTACGACTTTTCTCACCACATTTGTTAAGCGAATCGCTGCAGTTGCTACATGAGTAATCTGGTTGTTAAGTGAATCTTAACAGCCATATGATTCACTTAGCAAACATGCGACTCGCTTAATGACCGTCGTAAAAATGGTTGTAAAATTGGGTCCAGTTGCATGGCATGCATTATGACTAACGACCATGATTCTGGCTGTAAGTTGAGGACCATCTGCTGCAGAAGCAAAGGGGGGTTGAGTTTTTAGTTGCCTGCAGAGCAGAGGTAAAATGCTCCCGGTTCAGACGGTAGCGATGGAGGCGGGTGGTTCGGAGAACCGGTAGCAAAAATCCCTGCCCCCCCCCCACATGCCCAGCTGAGCCGCACAATCATCAGAGGCTTTTTTTTTTTTACTTTTAAAAGCATTTTTTCTACAACCTCTTTGGCTGAAAAAATGCTTTTAAAAATAAAAAAAAAGCCTCTGATGATTGTGCTGCTCAGCTGGGATCATCAGAGGCTTTTAAAAGAAAAAAAAAACCCTTTTTTTCTTTTAAATGCCTCTGACGATCCAAGCTGAGTTGCCTGATTGTCAGAGGCATTTAAAAGAAAAAAAGCCTCTGCCGATCAGGCAACTCAGCTGGGATTGTCAGAGCCTTTTGAAAGCATTTTTTTACAACCTCTTCTGACCTTGGGTGTGTTGTGTAAAAGGGCTGTTGTCAGGGATTTTTGTCTTTTTAAATTTTTTATTTGCTGGTTCTGGATGTGAAGAGCGCTATGCATTTCCTCAAATGAAACCATTATTTCATCTTCTTCGACCTTTAGATCTTTGATTTTTCTGGAGACTTGAGTGGGCACTTGATAGAACATTATTCACTCTCCTCTGTGAGATATCTGACTTTCTCGTAGGTTCTTTGGCTACGATTGTTTGGCATTTCATGCGGATATTTAAGCAACATTTTTTTTTTACATTTAAATAAATAAAAAGCTCATTCCAGCGCTTTTCAAATGACGTGGTTTTTATTAGAAGTCTGTCATCCTTCGCAATGAGACCGTACATGACGGCATTCAAAATCTTACACAATTCTTTTAATATTTACAATATGGTATTGTTCAGCCACCTGTCCGCAGAGGTTGGCAGATTGAAAGTCCAGTCTAAGGAGGGAAGGGTCAGTCCATGACAGGGGAGTGATGGAAAGTTCCCCCTTACCATGATCATTTATCCACTGCCCAGAGAGAAAAACCAGGTCGAGTGTGCGTCCTCCGCTATGAGTTACTTAAATCGGTTTCGCTTTTCAGTAAGAAGAGGTCCAAATCCTGAACCAGGTAGATGACAGGTGGTCCTTGACTTACAACCGTTCGTTTAGTGACCGTTTGAAGTTACAACGGCAATGAAAAAAAGGGACTTACGACCATTTTTCACACCTACGAGCGTTGCAACATCCCCGTGGGTCACGTGATCAAAACTGAGGCGCTTGGCAACTGGCTTATACTTATGACCCCGGTTGCAGGGTCCCTGGGGGGGGCGGGGGGGGGGGTAGGGTCACGTGATCCGTTTTGGGGACCTTCTGATGAGTGAAGTCCATAAAGAAGCCGGATTCACTTAACAACCAGGTTGCTGATTTAACAGCTGCGGTGATTCGCTTAACAGCTGTGGCAAGAAAAGTCGTAAGATGGGGCAAAACTCACTTAACACATGTTTCCTTTAGCAACATAAATGTTGAGCTTAATTGTGGTCGTTAACCCGAGGACTACCTGTATACGGTCTAAACAAGGGACCCCCAACTGATTTTGAAATGCAGATTCGGTAGATTTTGGTACAGTCAGTCCTTGCTTAAAGACTGGCCGCTTAGCGACCATTTGAAGTTATGATGGACTCCTCAAAAGGTAATTACCACCCAGATTCAAAGTCCTGACATCTAGCCCCCCATTCCCCCCCAGTCATGTGATCGCATTTTCAGCACTTGGCAACTGGCCCACATTTGCAGTTTTTGCAACGTCCAAGGACCCGGATTTACAACATGGTTACTTCCAGGTTCTGGGGAAAAAAAACCACGCATTGCAAACAATGGGTTCACTTTATGACTACAAAAAAAGAAAGTCATAAGATCGGTTTGGTTCTAAGATGACTTGCTTAACGACTGGCATGACTTATGACCGTAGTTCCCAGTTCAATTACTGTTGTAAGTCGAGGACTTCCTCCATTAAGGAATATCCAGGGATTCCCTATTTACACTCTCTTCTTAGTATGCAATTTGTGGTTGAAAGGGGTAGAAATAAATTAAAAAGAAATGTCCACTTCTCCATTCCGGTTTTCGAACGATGTTAAACGAACTGGAAGCCCAAACTCTCTTCCACCTTCCAGATTGCTATCTTCCCTTCTTCCTTTCCACCTCCACTCAGAACGTAGCGATCCTCGGCGGAGCACAAGGACTTCACCACATCCGCGTGTCCAACCAACTCTTTTTCCACCAATTTCCTCTCCGTATCCAGCACGTAGATTTTTCCTTTGACCTTACCCTGGGAGAGTCCTCGGCCACCAACCCACATCTGGAAAGGAAATCAAATGTTTAGAAAAGGCGCCTACGAGAGGCTTGAAGGTTTTGGGGAAAGCAAACTCAGAAGGTGCGTGGATTCGTCTGTTACGCTTTGGGCATTTATTAAACTAAATGTTTTTTTTTTTTTTGTAACAAGTGCACAAGCCAAAGAAAAGTTGATGTTTTTTTCTCCAGCAATACGACATGAACCATCATCCTCTTTTAATGACCCCCATAATCCCTTGCGGGGTGGAGTCTGGGCAACTGAAGGGAGCTGAGTGTTTATTGGCCGGATGCCCTTCCTCTCGCCAATGCGGAGTTTTTTCCAGCAGATACATTCTCAGTGGGCCCAGAGAGAGAAATATCTGCCTCTACTCAGGATCGAACTCATAGCCATTACGACATGAATGTACCCTGATATTCCAGGTCATCTTTTCTGCTTTGAAGATGGATCTCTCGTGGCTCTAACTTCCATCCATGCAAAGAAGCTATTTTTATTTGCTATCCATCCATCCATCCATCCATCCATCCATCCATCCATCCATCCATC